AAATCCAAATTCTCATTACGATGCTAAGTGTTAAAGAGTAGCCCTGTGGCACTTATCAGTAGTCAAAGATGATTTTCAAAACACATTTTTGGTCATTTCCTCTTTTTAAATTCAGAGATGTCAATTCAGATAGGATTTAAATCAAACAATAGTAGGTAATTTGGCCCAGACTTATTTCCTGGATGATGGGAATAAAAAGAAAAGGACATTTTAAATTCAGACAGCAATAAAATAATCTACTAGCTCATGTAGATACTGAAATAACCTCACGGCCTTATGTAAAACAATTACAGTCTCAATAGGACTTTTGTCATGAATGATTAGATGTCAGTGCAGCAGCAGATGGCATGCATGTCTGGGCACTATTGTCTTACCTGAGAGAAAATAGATGTTTTCTCAGTAATGGAGAACGCAGCCTTATCATTATCAGTGAGAGGGTTTTGAAATGGATTTTCGACTTTTGAATAAAATTCAGTTATGTGAAAAAATGTGAGTGGTACCTCACAGTGACAGAATGATAATGAAAGTTGACCTTCTTTAAAGGCGCAGTGATGCAATATGTTCAATATTTAATGTGCGTAGACTTCATGTGAGACATTTGTTGGTTAACTGCCAGAAAAGTGTAAACACTGTGACAAAAACCTTGTTTCTTGCTCAGCCACTAGCATGCTTTTGAAGTAATAATGATCTTTTCGAATAATAATGATCGCTTTACCTTTATGAAGCATCACATCTTTATTTCTCTGATCACTGTAGTTAATATTTTATGGTGTATTTTATGAATCTAGCTTTCATAAAGTGAATCTCTTTTTAATAAGACATGGTAATGAGGCAGCAGAGAAAAGTAGAGGAGAGAAGAGGAGATTTCTGTATCGGAACAGAGCAGGCACATAGATATGCTTATATTGTCTTTCCCAGCACGTCAGGCGGTCACGGTGCAGAGATGGTGAATAATGCACTGGGGGCAGAGAGAGAGAGGATGGAGATAGACAAGTATGGACAGAAAGAGAGAGAAACTCTTTTTTTTGTGATTCTGAAGTTGATTTGGTTTTGTGAGGCCTCGGCCGTGGAGCCTGTGGCAGTGATTATATTTAAGTCCCTGGAAACTCAAGAATATTATTCTAAACTTTCATTCCAGCCTTAAAAGCATAGTTCACCAAAAAATGAAAATCCTGTCATTATGTATTGCCTTATGTCATTCCAGACCTTCAAAATATCTTAATTTTTGTTCTGCAGAAGAAAGAATGACACGAGGGTGAGTAAATGATGACAGAGTTTACATTTTTTGCTGAACTTTCCCTGTAAGTGTAAATAAAACAGAAAGTTCATGGCTGTCGCCGGCCAAACAAGTTGGTGTTTTTTCAATGTAGGCTTCAGACACGGGTCACGACGAGGCGTTCCCCATAGCGACCCCTAGAGGATGCAGTTCGAAGTTCCACGAAAGGGAACTATACATGCTGTTCTTGTCATGAGCATCAAGGTGTGAGGGCGGTGCAAATTCCACTCATGTTTAGTACATGTTAACTCAAAGATTCGTAGAAAAAATATAAATGTTGGACTCTGTGGTCGATTCTGCCTTATATTGTCTTTCCCAGCACGTCAGGCGGTCACGGTGCAGAGATGGTGAATAATGCACTGGGGGCAGAGAGAGAGAGGATGGAGATAGACAAGTATGGACAGAAAGAGAGAGAAACTCTTTTTTTTGTGATTCTGAAGTTGATTTGGTTTTGTGAGGCCTCGGCCGTGGAGCCTGTGGCAGTGATTATATTTAAGTCCCTGGAAACTCAAGAATATTATTCTAAACTTTCATTCCAGCCTTAAAAGCATAGTTCACCAAAAAATGAAAATCCTGTCATTATGTATTGCCTTATGTCATTCCAGACCTTCAAAATATCTTAATTTTTGTTCTGCAGAAGAAAGAATGACACGAGGGTGAGTAAATGATGACAGAGTTTACATTTTTTGCTGAACTTTCCCTGTAAGTGTAAATAAAACAGAAAGTTTCTAGCTTGTTCAATACAGAACTACACTGTTTATTTAAAGGGATAAATCCTGTCATTTACTTACTGCTGCAGGTCTCTTTCATGCCATGGATTAGAATAAATTATATTTTGCAGTTATTTTCCATATAGTGAAAGGAAATGGGGAGACAAACTATAAAAACACCATGAATGTAACACAAAAGTGTTTACTATTGCTCTTGCACTATAAAATATTTGGGTCACAAATCTGTCATTTGGAAATTATTTGCACAAACCAGCAATGTTCAGTGTTTTTGACAGTGTTTATTAACTTTTGTAGTTCACCCAAATATGAAAATTTGCTGAAGTTTACTCATCTTTAAGTCATCCAAAATGTAGATGAGCGTGTCTCTTGATTTGGAGAAATTTTGCATTACATCACTTGCTCATCAACGAATCCTTTGCAGTGAATGCGTGCCGCAAGAATGAGTCTCCAAACAGCTGATAAAAACATCACAGTAATCCACACCACTCCAGGCCATCAATTAATGTCTTGTAAACCATAGTAAATGTTGAAACCAGTATATTATCAGTACCAGTATTTTAGTAGCTTTATGTGAGGAACAGACCGACAATTGCTATTAATGGAAATCACATTCAAATACAGTGTGTCGCATCAAGATGTGAAAATACACATTTAAAATTCGGTCTAATCATATGCAATCAGAAGACTTGAAAAATCAGTTTGGAACAACATAAGGCTGAATAAATGATGACAGAATGCCATTTCCAGCTGAATTATGCACTTAAGAGTATGTCCATTTCATAACTACAAAAATGATTGTGCCGTAATGCATGCATAAGACATCTCTACACCTGTTTCTGTAATACAGTACAAGCTTGTGTACTTTAGATTTGGATGCTCTCAGTATTCCAGCAGGAGCTGTAAATCCCTCTTGTGCCACGTTTGAGGCCCCATCACACCCCATTTGCCAAACACAGAGTCCGCCCGCCCCCCTGAGCAATATCAGAATACACTGTATGTCTGCTCGAGTTTTTGATGGTTGATCACACCCTCAGATTGCCCTCTGGGAAATGTTCTCTGAATTATAATACAGTTGGCGTTCTGTATTTGACATCAGCTGCAGTAGTTCCCCTCTCGCTCTGTCATCACGATCTCTCATCAAACGTGGCTTTCTGACTGAATGTGACTGAAGGGATTGAGCTCCTTAAAGACTTGTACTTAAAGGAACGTTCCGGGTTCAAAACAACCTAAGCGCTGTTGACAGCATCTGTAACATGCCATAGACAATTAGCACAGAGAATAATTGTGAAGTGATTGTGTCTTTATGTGTAAAAACAAGCCAATATAGCGGGCTTTTAAGAGGTAATATGCAGAATGTATTTTTGTTAAAGCACGTATATTAATTCTTCTCAACAAATATTGGTTGTTTAAGTTGTACAGTTGTTTAAATCACTTTTCCTAGGTGGATAAATTTACAATTCCTGTGATTTTCTCCATGTAAACAATGTTATGTTTGTGCATATCATTTGAAAGTTAAGAGTTTATTGGCTTTACATGGTCATGAAGAGAGTTGAAATATTGGAAGTAACTTGCATATTTATAATAATTATTAAAATTCTTATATGTTTTGTAATTAATAGGCTATATTTTTTATGTTTAAGACTTAAAAGAGGGTCAGTAAGATTCATTTATTTATTTTGAAAGAAATTAATACTTTTGTACAGCAAGGATGCATTAAATTGATCAAAAGTGACAGTAAAGATATTGATAATGTTATGAAAGATTTCTATTTTAAGGAAATCCTGTCCATGGCACGGAAAGTGTACCATGGTTTCCACAACCCTGAAAATAAATTCTTGAGCAGTTAATCAGCATATGATTATGTGACACTGAAAACTGTGATGATGCTTAAAATTCAGCTTTGACATCGAGAATAAATTACATTTGAAAATATATTCAAATAGAAAACAGTTATTTTACACTTTCACAATATTACTGATTTTACTGTATTTTTTATCAAATAAATGCAGACTTGGTGAGGATAAGAGACTTCTTTCAAAAACGTTACAATAAATCTTACTGAATTTTTGAACAGTAGTGTATTTTAATGTTTATACTGCTCCAATTACTGCAAACTTTGGGACTTATTATTTTTAAGTTATTATTATTATTATTATTATTTAATTAATTAAATTTAGGTTTTTTTGTGGTTAAGGATGACTTGCGTCGAACCTGGAGCATTTCTTCAGGGAACAAAAACCCCTCATTTATTTCAAATACCAGTAACTCTTCCCCTGAGTAACAGATATATTGTTTGTTGAATATTATTTGCTTTATTCTTTTGTTTTAGAGATTTCTGGTAAGAATTGGTGCTCAGTAATATCAGGTGACACTATTTAAATATTAATTTTGAAGAAACTGTAATGAATGTTATTATGAATTTGTTTTGACTTGAACAAAGACTTGACTGGGTAAGAAACAGAGGGAGAAATTCTGAGTAAAGAGAAGGAGGAGAAGAAAAACATCCAGCATAAATATTAATTTCCCTTTTGTTCAGCAAAAACGACCCAATCGGATCCTCAGCGGATTCCAATCCACCTCAAATTGTTTTGTTATTCATAATCTGCCTCTATATATTAACATGGAATACTTCAGAACGAAATCACAGCAATCCCTCGGGATCATGGGAAATGTGGATTTACCACATTTTATTGATTTCTCATAGATTGTATTTAACAATCCCCCCCCATAGTTGTTGTCAAGTTTTTATTTGTTTGTATTGCATATTAAAATAAAATGCTAGGAATTAAATAGCTGACAATATATCAAACAAAGAGGATTGTGAGTGTAATTGCTACAAATAGCCACAGATATCTCAGTCTCGCACAAGACTGCTCTAGAGAGAAGGAAATAATTGAAGAATTTCAGATCATTTGAAAATGCAGCCACTGTTTCAGTAATGGAGATGAGGGGAAAATGTGCTTTTCCTTAATTAATTTGAACGTCTTATAGAGGGAAGACGGAACTGTTTGCTTGTTGGGAGAGTAGCGCCCACTGGGCACCAACATATGGAGACTGCATTTGGCTTTGGGTGACGTTTAATGAACTTCTCATGATTATGAGTTCCGATACCAAAAATAGCCCCCAAAAGACCTGAAGGAGGCCCTTATCTACAGGAGAAGCAGACTTTGTGGTTTAGCTCTAGGTTGTGTCCCACTGTGTTTCAGCCTTACAACGCCGCGTTCACTCTCGCCTCGCTGACAGCCAGATGTTTTTCGAGACTGGAGTCATGTTTTCTTGTAGGCCTGGCCTTAGGGCATCTTTCCATTTTGATGGGCTCACGTGCATAGAAGAAGAATAATAATACAAAAAGAGAGAGAGACAAAGAGGGTGGCATTAATTACTCATCCATGAATAATGCAGCTTGGCTTGTCAGATGAAGGCTTTCTGTAATCTAAGGGTCATTAGCTTGTTTGCAGCATTTCTCTTCTCAAATTAGTGTGGAAATTTAGGTCTCTAGAGTTGGACAATAAGCAATATCACACCTACATTTCTTGATGGAAAGAATTAAGGATCTACAATACTTTTCAAATGTTTAGGGTCAGTGAGATTTTTCAGTGTTTTTGAAAGAAGCCTCACATGGTCACCAAGGCTGCATTTATTTGATGAAAAATACAGTAATATTGTAAAATATAATTACAATTTAAAAGAACTGCTTTTTAAAAAATATATATTTTAAAATGTAACTGGCAAAGCTGAATATTCAGCAGCCATTACTCCAGTCAGTAAGTCATACTTATTGCTCGACAATGAGTCAATGTCCCACTGGCCCTAAGCAATGTTGCTACCGCGAAGCTTTCACTCATTCATCTTGTAAATCCAGTTTTCATGCCTTGCGAAATTAAACATTTGCTTTTCTGTGATTTATTCTACAATGTTCTGACAGAATCTTCTGATTTGTCACTGTCTAATTAGCTTACTAATATAGATAGCTGGCTAAATTAGCAAAAATTATTTGTGATAGTCTTGAAAGCATTGCATGAAACTGCATTCAATTCAATTCAATTCAAGTTTGTTTGTATAGTGCTTTTCACGATACAAATCATTGCAAAGCAGCTTTACAGAAAATTTAAGTTTGTATTTTAAAGTTTAGCTTATCATTGGTGACTATCTCAAGTTGATGTACATATGGCAGAAATGTACAGTAAAATGTATGCAATTAATTAATGACGTAATCAAACAGGCGGTGAACACTATTAACTGCAATGATTATATGTTGCGATTAAACTTATAGCAAAATTTGGTAGTTTTGTATGTTGTTTCAGGGTTGGCATCATCTGAGGTCCTCTGGGGGGTTGGCATCATCTCTTCTCAGATCTTCGTAAGGGTTGGATCCAGACTGAAGCTTGTAATTCGTGTAATTCCTAGTTACCTCGGGATGCCAATCCCGTGGCAGAAACGGAGAAGCATCAGAGTAATCAGACTATATTACATTTTATAATGCTCATAATCGGATACTTTTTCATGGATTACATGATTACATATTATTCACACAATGGCAGTAAATTAATCAAAAGGGATTCCCAAATGTTTTTGTCAGCCAAACCACTTTGACATATAATATTTAGTTAAAATATCTCTGAGTAAGTTAATATTAAAAGTTTACAGTTTGCTTAATGTTGCTTAATGGTCATATTGACATGCAGGTAAACAAATTAAATATTTATATTTTTAGTGTTTAAGTTTAAATAATTTATTTTACATTTTTATGATTGAATTGATTATTAGCTTTTTATCAACTCACAAACCCCTTGCAGTTCTTACTTTAAGCCCAGTTTGGGAAACCCTGGTATTTACATTACATTTACATTTAGTCATTTAGCAGACACTTTTATCCAAAGCGAATTACAAATGAGGACAATGGAAGCAATCAAAATCAACAAAAGAGCAATGATATGCAAGTGCTATAACAAGTCTCAATTAGATTAACGCAGATTTAAATTATATAATAAATAAAAAGAAAAAAGATAGAATAGAAAAAGAAAAGAGCAAGTTAGTGTTAGAGGCCTTTTTTGCTTTTTTTAATTGTATAATAAATAAAAAGAAAACAAATAGAATACAAAAAGATTAGAAAAGCTATTGTAATTTTTTTTTTAAGAAAACAAGCTGTAAATGAATAGAGTGCAAGTCTAAAAGGGACACGTTTTTT